ACTGGATTTAAAGGATTTAAACAGTCGTCTGGTGATGTAAATTGATTCCAAGGTCAGTTTCTCAGTATATTATGGTATTTATCATGTTACACAATAACATATAAAGTACAGCTATGAAGCATTTTAGCATCTGCTTGAATGACTGAATGAAAGGCGGAACATTATTTGTCTGGGTCAGCAGGTTTTCCTTGAAAACCTTGAAAACATAATAAAACCCACTGCATCTGACCCCATAGACATCACCATAAAGTATATAGCTCAATTACAGAACACCGCCTCGCTCTAAACACTGCGTTCCTTCAGTTTGAGCAGCTCATCTCTTTCTAAATGACTCAGGTCACTGCTGACTGATGAGGTCCTCGTCACTCAGCCTTATTCTCCTTCTGCTGCTCTCTGGCACTGATGCTCATATACAGCCATGAAAGGGAGGGTGAAGCTCAGCTTGCTGCCCATCCCCCCCCCTCCCTTCATTCTGGCTGCTACAGCCACTGCTGCAGAGAGAGAGAGAACGACAGAGAGCCCGCGATGGTGTCACCCTCCCTCTTTCACTCTCTGCCCCCACCAATCACAGCCCTCGCTTCACCTTAGCCAAACGTAGAGCAGGTGTTGCCTCCCTGCGTCCTTGTCTTTACTGGGAAACATGCACGCAGTGTTTACATTGCTCAGGAAAAAGATGATTCACTCGGCCTGCCTTCAGCTTTTCACAAACTGGGTTATGCAATAGCCAGTTACAGTGTTTAAATAATTAAAGAATGTAAAACACGCGCAGATAATTGGCATATGAAGCTGCATTGTGTAATGTAGTAGGGCGTGCAGATGATATCATTTCTATCAAAACTCAGTCTTCTGGCCTTGTATTAAAAAAAATGTAGACTAACTTACAAAAATGCAGGTCTGGGCTGAGCTCAGCCACAGTGCAAACATCCAGCATCAGGCTCAGAATACTTTTTATAATTTAATACTGTACTCTTGGATTCAAAGTAGATGTGAAATTACTGGTGATCGAGGCTCCTCTTTGTGACAATGCACAAATCCTTTCACTTCATGTCAAAGAACAGAAAAATATACTAATATATATATATACACTAATATATACTAGTATATATATATATTCTATATATATATATCTATTATATATATAGATATATATATATAATATTATATAACTGTTATACTCTTATATATATTCTTCTATTCAATATATATTACACAAATATATATAATTATCCATATATATATATATACTCACATATATATATATATATATATTGTCATGATCTCTCTCTTTCCTCCCCTCTCCCCCCCTCCCCCCCCCCTTCACTCCATTTTT